TTATAGGCGAAATGCAGAATTTTCTTCACTGTTTCCTCCTGTTACTCTAAAATATTGTTGCTAGGCTAAGATCCCACCCTTCTGTGCACAGCTGTTACATTAGTAAGGATCAATTCCCATTTAATTTCCTAAAGGGATGACAAAAGGAGTACTGAAAACTACTCGAGTGTACTTGGTGAAGTAGTGCTCAGTCTTACAGTAACAAGAGACATGTTGACCCATCTGGTCAGACTGTATGGATGCTCACAGGTGGATTTCCAAAGGTTTTCAAAGACCAGAGAAAAAGCTGAGCTTAGAAGCTCTGCAAGAGCATAATCGTGTATTTCTTACTGCTTCTTAGCAAAATTTTGCTGACTTGTAAATCATATACAGAATCACAGAACTGTAGGGGTTGGAAGGGACCTCTAGAGATCATCGAGACCAACCCCCCTGCCAAAGCAGGTTCCCTACACCAGGTCACACAGGTAGGCATCCAGGCAGGTCTTGAACATCTCCAGAGAAGGAGACTCCACAACCCCCCTGGGCAGCCTGTTCCAGTGCTCCGTCACCTCACTGTAAAGAAGTTCTTGAGCACATTTGTGCGGAACTTCCTATGCTGCAGTTTATGTCCGTTTCCCCTTGTCCTGTCTCCACAAAAGTGAAGTTGATAATGTAGTTATTTGAAGACAAATTTGATGGCATGCGGCCAATGTAACATAGCATTCAGGCTCCAGTGTTTAGTGGTCCCTTCTGCTGGAAAGATTTGACAAATGCTGTTATTCCTGCCAGAAAGCACATTCATTTTGCTGAAACTTGACTAAAGGCTGAGAGAGCTGGAACTTCTCAGCCTGGAGAAGGGAAAGTGGTTCTGTGAAAAGACACAAGAAAAGTCACTGTTTCGGTTTCTATGCAATGACCTTGACTAGATTTAATGTGTGGAGATTCAGAACTGGTCTCAAGGTTTAAGTCCTTTTTCCGTTACCAACAGTGTAACAGAGTAAAAAACAAGAAGCCCCATTTCTTCTAACATACAAACAAAAATACCCCAATCTCATGTCTTCCTGAAAAGTGAATTATTTTCAATGTGAGATCATAACATCATTAAATAGAGACAGTTTTAGGACACACTTTTTCAATTTTTCACAGGAAAACTAGATTTCAAGGAATGACTGCTTCTTTTTATGTGAGCTGGACTTAGTAAAAGCACTCTAAGCTTGACAGCCAACATCACATTATAACCTTGCTACTACATAAAAATAAAATATAAAAAGAAAGAAAAAGAATCCTAATTGACTCTCTTGCTTTAACTTTCTTCTTCATGAATATGATTCGTATTATCACCACACCTGAAAACATCAGTTAAAAGCAGGGCATCAGCATCCAGGGGAATATCTGGTTTTATTGTAGGAGACCACCCCTGACAAACCAACTAGATAGAGCCAAGAAATTTTGAGATATATACTGTTATTGCAAACTCTTCAAACTCAAGTGATTTAAACAATAGATATACCAGGAATCAGGTCCACAAAAAAAAAACTTGTTTAATTTGTTTAGGGAATGTGAGGTTGCTTACTGTTGCTATTTTGTTTTTTAATGTCAATCTTAACAAAGTTAAGTGTAGTTAAGTATAAGTTAAGTAAGTTAAGTGTTAAGTAAGTGTAGTTAGGTAAGTTAAGTGTAACTTTAAAAAGTTGAAATGTATTTGCTGATATATATTCTTTCAAGCTGTGAGAGTCAGAAAGCTTTAATTAAAGAAAGGCTTCCCTTTGATAGTATGAATCAGAGGACTGAAGGTATTTAACATGACAGAAAACTTGCAGAGATTCAGCCACTCTGTTAATTCAGCCACTCTGTTAATCTTGTTTTACAGATGTGGAACCAGACAAGGCTTGGTCAGATTCACCATTCTGCCCAGGGTTACATATTATCTTGGACAGAGCTACACGCCTCTGACTCCAGGTCATCAGACAAATCCTCTTCTGCAGAACTGAGAAGATCAAATTGTATAATCACAAGTCATAACAGAAGGTTAGTTGGCTGACACCATCCCCTGGTTTGCCAGCACATATCAAGCTAAACATATAATTTCTGGACTTCTCTCTTTCAATGATTGTTTTTTTTTCAGGGGAAATTCTTGCAGCTGCTTTCCTGTTTTGATCACCACACTTTGCAATTGTCATGCAGAGATAGAAAATCTCTGTTACAGTCTCATTATTGTTATTTAAATATTGGTACCAGTGCCCCAGGATAGCCAGTCTTGAGTGGGCCACAGCCCCAAACCCATGTATCCTGAACACTGCATGAGAGCACAGTCACCACAGCTTGTAAAAGAGATGTGTGTTTTCCTCCTGGTGTATCCACACAGACTGGAGCCAGGGGGGATTATGTTTATAAGAATATTGTACCATTCTTCAATTTTGACACGTTCAGCTAGGACCATGAGTGAAGAATTTTGGAAGAAGTGTGGGGCCCGTGAATCACAGAGTCACAGACTGGCCCGGGTTTGGAGGGACCTCAAGGATCATGAATCTCCAACTCCCCTACCACAGGCAGGGCCACCAACCTCCACATGTAATACTAGACCAGGCTGCCTGGGGCCCCGTCCAACCTGGCCTTGAACACCTCCAGGGACAGGGCATCCACAAGCTCTCTGGGCAGCTTGTTCCAGCACCTCACCACTCTCTCTGTAAAGAACTTCCCCCTGAACATCCAACCTAAATCTTTCCTCCCTCAACTTATAACCATTTCCCCTCATCCTGCTGTTATCTACGCTTTCAAATAGTTGATTTCCCTCCTGTCTGTAGGCTCCTTTTAGGTACTGAAAGGCTGCAATGAGGTCACCGCACAGCCTTCTTTTCTGCAGGCTGAACAAGCCCAGCTCCATCAGCCTGTCTTCATAGGGGAGGTGCTCCAGCCCCCTCATCATCTTTCTGGCTCTTCTCTGGACCCTCTCCAACATCTCTCTGTCTTTCTTGTACTGGGGGCTCCAAGCTTGTACACAGTTCTCCAGATGGGGCCTCACAAGAGCAGAGTAGAGGGGGACAATCACCTCCCTGCCCCTGCTGGCCACCCCTCTTCTGATGGAGCCCAGGATACCACTTGCTTTCCAAGCTGCAAGAGCACACTGCTGGCTCATGTTCAGTTTTTCATTCATCAGGACCCCTAGGACCTTCTCTGCAGAGCTACTCTCAAGAACCACGCCTTCCAGCCTGTATAAATGCCTTGGATTCCTCCAGCCCAAGTGCAAAACCTTGCACTTTTCTATGTTGAACCTCAATAAGTTCACCCAGGCCCACCTTTTCAGACTGTCGAGGGCCCTCTGAATGGCATCCCTTCCCACTGTGTCAACCACACCACTCAGCTTGGTGTTGTCAGCAAACTTGCTGAGAGTGCATTCAATTCCATTGGTGACGTCATTGATAAAGGCACCAGTCCCAAGACAGACCCCTGGGGGATGCTGCTCGTTATCAGTCTCCACCTGGACATAGAACCATTAATCACCACCTTCTGTCTGCGGCCTTTCAACTTTTATCCTTCGAGTGATCTGCACATCAAATCTACATCCCTACAATTTGGAGATAAGAATGTGGTGGGGGACCGTGTCAAAGGCCTTGCTCAAATCCAGGTAAATGATATCGGTCTCCTTCCCTTTCTCCACCAATGCTGTCACTCCATCACAGAAGGCCACCGTATTGGTTAAGCATGACCTTCCCCTGGTGAAGCTGTGCTGGCTGTCTCAGATCATACGCTCATTCCTCATGTGATCAAGTATGTCGTCCAGCAGGATCTGCTCCATGATCTTCCCAAGCACAGAGGTGAGACTCACCAGCCTGTAGTTCCCGGGGTCTTCCTTGCTCCCTTTCTTGTAAATGGGACTGATGTGACCCTTCCTCCAGTCATCTGGGACCTCACCTGACAAGCACTACTTTTCAAATATGATGGAGAGTGGCTCAGCAACCACTTCAGCCAGCTCCTTCAGAGCCCTGGGATGCACACGATCCGGCCCCATAGACTTGTGCACATTCAGTCTCATGAGGTGGTCTTGGAACTTGCTCTGCCCTTACAGTGGAGGGGGATTTACCGCCCTGGTCCCACCTAGAGGTTTAGGGATGCAGGGCTCAGGGACGTGAGAAATATTAGAATCCTGGCTGCCAGTGAAGACCAAGGCAAAGAACTCATTCAGTACCTCAGCCTTCTCTTTGTCCATTGAAGCCAGTTCTCCTTTTACATTTACCAAAGGAGGTACACTTGTTTTTACCTGTCTGTTCTGGCCAGTGTACCTGTAGAATGTCTTCCTATTGTTTTTCACATCACTCACCAAGTTCAGTTCCACCTGCACCTTGGCTTTCCTGATCCCACTTCTGCAAGTCTGGACAGCATCCCTGTATTCTTCCCAGGTGACAAACCCTTGTTTGCAGAGCTTTCTTTGCCCTCAGCGTGCCCAGCAGGTCTTTGTTGAGCCATACCGGTTTCCTACCTCCTCTGCCCGCTTTTTTATTCAGAGGGATGGAGAGCTCTTGTGCTCTCAGAAGGCATCCTTGAAGAGTAGCCAGCTCTCCTCAACATCTTTGTCTCTAAGGACAGCATCCCAGGGAATCTTGGCCAACAATTCCTTGAACTGCTGAAGTTTGCTCTTCCAAAGTTCAGGGTCCTGGTCCCACACTTTGCCAGGCCCGCATAACTTGAGATCATGAACTCGACCAGGGCATGGTCATTACAGCTCAGGCTGCCTCCTACCTTAACGCCTTTAATGATCTCTTCCACATTGATGAGCAGCAGATCCAACAATGCTTCACCTCTCATTGGTCTGTCCATTACTAGAACCATAAATTTATTCTCAATGGATTCCAGAAGCCTCCTGAACCTGAAAAACAAAACAAACAAACAAACAAAAAAAACTCCTGAACTCCTGAAAAAAATAAAAAAAATAAAAATCGGAACTATTTTGCTTTAAGTAACTGGTATGAGAAAGCCACCCTAAATAATAGGGTGTATTTTTTTTTCTCTCATAAACATGTTTTCCAGCAGCAGGTTGTTCTTCATTTCTTTTAATGTTCGTCCAGTACATTGCTAAACAAGAGATTAGATCAGTCTGTATATGCTATCATTTCTTCCCCTAAATATAGAGGATGAAATCAGTGTTCAAAATAATTAAGGAAAGCCCACTTTAGTGTCCTTATCTTGTTATCAGAAATTTTGGAGGCACAGAAAACCTTGCTAATCACTGCCTCCCTTGTCATTGTTAGACAAATTACAGCACCAAAGCTGTACGGTGGGAAATGAGATACCAAACTAAAATGAATTATCCACAATGGAGTCATGACGAGAAAAGTCAGTGCTCAGTAAACTCATCCAGGAGTTTGAAGTACCATTGCCTTCCCAGCTAAAGATTTGAGTTATGGCTTTGGGTAAACAGCTACAAAAAGACTTCAAGGACAGAGATACGCTGGATATAAGATGAAAAAATTACTAATCCTGCAGCCTCCCTGTCTGCACACTCACATTTTACTGGAGATGGTCCCAAAAATGTTCTTTTGTCTGCATTAGTGTTTAGAACAATATCAGATCTTTTGTGCTGCTTTCCTGTAGCTAAGCCACATCTGCCCTTTGAAGCCAAGTCCATGTGAATAGCCATGCTCCACAGCCTCCTGTGCATTGTACCTGTACCAAGCTGCCTGGGAATGTCTCCTGTTGAAAATACATGCTATGCAGGAAAGGGTAGTCTATATCCTCTCTCTCTCTCTCTCTTTCTCTGTCAATATAAGTATACAGTGGACAGTTTCACTCTCCATCAAAGCCCAAAATATCTTGGGCTTGAACAGATCCAGAAACTCCAGCATATTCTGGTCAACACATCCTTCACTTCAAGCTGTTTATTACAAACACTGTACATGAGCCTCAGAGTGTGTCACAGACTGAACATTGTTCAGGACTGGTGGAGCTCATGCTGTCAGTGTTGGATTTTTAATCATTAGTAAAATCATTTACCAGTGTTACTGTGCTGCCCCTCTGCCATATTTAAGGTCATTCACAAACTATGTACAGTTAGAGAGATTTCAGGTACCTGCATTTTCTGGAAATAGAGATCAGAACACATGCTTAACAGGAAGGCTACCTCCTCCTGCTCACTCAACAATGTGCCTCAGCATAGAATTCAAATGTTCCTTGAACACCTCCAAGGTAGGTGACTCCGCCACCTCCCTGGGCAGCCTCCCTGCTACATCTGTCTGTGGCTCCCTGCAGCTGACAAACACCTCATTTCGACGGAATTTCATTATTTTTATGTTTGGTCCAAAGCTCCACATGGAGTGATGGGACAATAGGGCCACAGGAGAAAGTCACAAGAAACCGATAGGAACAAGGAAAGGCTAAAATGAAAAAAGCAACAGATCAGCAATGAAAACTTGGCCAGCTGGCATACAAACATTTCAGTGAAATTCATTAAAACTATCCCAGTGCATGCCAAGATTTACTGAACTCTTCACTAGTAAACAGAGATAGCCAAGAGCAACAGTCCTAGTCTAGTAATGTCAAAATCAATTGCTGCTATTCCATTTAGCATTATACTGCACCTAATGTTGGGTTATACGTAGGCACGTTTATTAATTGTCACTATTCTTTTTTGTAAACCTATCCATCAAAGAGTGCAATTTTAGGGGGAGGATATTGAGGGTGCACTTCTCACTCTGGCCATTGTGCAGCAGCTCTTTAGAGGAAAAAAAAAAAAAGACTTGTTTTGGGTGAGTTGAAGGGGAAAGAGAAGAAAACCTAATCACTTTCTGGATTTAAGCTAATTCCTGTGTTACAGTTGCAAAGATGGGATGAAGCAAATTTTCTGCTTTGTTAAGGCTCCTAATCAGAGAAAAGCCAGAGCTGCAGTGAGTACTTGTGATCTTGGTGAGTACTTGTGATCAGTAAAGATTTTTGCTTTTCTGACATTTCTGTTTGTGAGAGGAAGGATCAATTAAGCCCTTCCCCATCAGACACTTGTCTAATTTGTTTACATATATGACAGATTCACTGTATTTTTTGAAGGCTGGAAGATACAGGAGAAATCAGAGTGACACACCGAAGATCTGAGTTCATCATTCAAGCTTTCCTTCTCAGTTTGTCTGTCTGCTGTACCCATGACAGAGGACACAAAGGAACTAATGAAGGAGCAGACTGTTTTGCCCAGTCAGGCACAACAGAATTTCACTATGGAAGTTCCATTAGACAGTTACAGGCTGAGACCTAAAACTGCATAGTGGATGTAGGGGTTACACATCTGCCTTCTGTGTGGAACACATTTCATGCCGTTGAATTAGCAATGAAATAAATGTCAGCATCTGAGCTGAAGAAAGCCTATTCTCTCTTTATTGTATCATACAGACAGCTGCTCAGAGAACTCCTTCAGCAATTATTTTTGGCTTTCATTGTCATCCTTAAGAAAGTTCAGCATAAAACACAATAAAAATCAGATTATTTAATATGGTACCGTTCAAGTTACATTCAGCTGTTCAGAAATTCCTTTTGGCATTGCATGGAGCAATTGATAGTGTGAAAGCTGATGTCATCTCCGTGGTCTCTAATGGCAGTCCCTAATGGGGAGCCAGCAATGCTGTGTTGTTCAGTAGCTTTGCACTGCTGAAAGAGAGGGGCCCCATGCAGCAAATTAAGAGCAGAAGAAATATGTTAAGGAGCTAGGGGAAGTGCAGACGGAAAACAGCTATACCACAAGAAATTCCTGAGTTTATTTGCAACTGAGGCTTGCTTGAGACTTAGTGGTGGAGACCAGAGGGATTTTTGATGCTCTGTTCTTCTGGCTTAGATTATTAGTAAGTGCTATTTTTAGTATCACTTATTACATAAGTATCTGTCTGAAGCCACCCTCAGAGCAAGGTTTCTAGGCATTTCTAGACAAAGGTATGTGTTCAGGGATAGTAAACCTATCACTTTCTGGCAGGCAAGCATGCATGAACATACATGCACAATCTGTCCAATTCGGCTTTAAAATGTAGGTTTTCTGAGCTGGATGTTATACAACCATGGTGCACATGAGCTGTGAATGTGTCTCAGATTTCCAGTCACACAGCAACCAGCCAGAGCTGCTGTGAATGCACAATAAGGTTTCAGTTGTTAGACACACGGTAATCCCAGGAGAGGGTCCTGCAAAATTTGGCCTGAGAAAACTGTGATTGGGAAGAAAGAAGGCACAGAAAGACAGGCTAAAAATAAAGATGTCATGCTTAGCAGTGGTTCAAAGAAGCTCCTGCTGGTAGTAGAGCTGCAGCAGCCTGTCCCCCCATGCTTTCAGCCATCCCCGTAGCTACTCCATGCCTTCCTGCTCGCCGTAGGTGTTGATTACAGAGACTTTGGCACAGGAGGGCAGCCTTCCCCAGACATATAAACTTTGCATACTCACCACTGTCTGAATACAGAATGTGTAATACACGACTGAGTTTTTGCATTTTTGTCACTTTGAAGAAGCACACTATAGTCAGTTCTCAGTGTAGTACTGAGATTTGAAGATAAAGATGAAAAGGAAAGCCTTTTCTGTCTGCAGTTCCATTAGTGACTTCCGATGGTCAGAAATAGGAATGAAATGTATGGTCTTGTTTAGAATACACAACTCAAATATGCGATGCTGTTTCGGACAGTGTATGTGACTATCTTTGATTGAAGCATCCCATGGTCAGATAAGTACAGTATAAGAATGTGAGCAACACATAAAGAAACCACTTGTGAAGGTGAAAAAGTGCTTGAACCTGTTAATGAAGGTAAACCTGAAGGGGAGAATAACACCCTGCTTTGGAGTGGGAAGTAAGTGAAGGAGCCTTTCAGAGCCAGTTCCAAGGACAGCCAGCGTGCCCTGACCCTAGACAGCATGGTGTAGTGAGCAGCAATGTCTGTTTGTGCCAGAAGGTAGGGGCAGCTCCCTATCCGCAGCAAACCTCGGCAGGGTGTGCAGAGAGGCCCCAGCATACTGCTAGGCACAGCATTTCTCTCCTTCGCTTGGCCTCTGCTGAGCTCAGCACTTCTTCACAGAGGGCTCTTGCTGATCCAAGTCTGCATTTTCAGAATTAGCTTCTTCAACATCCCACCTATATAAGAGGAAATAGACAACTAAAACTAGCCATATTCCATAAAACCTCTAAAGCAAGGTTCTTTTCATAGATCAAGGAAGAAACTTTCACCTATTATTAGAAAGATGCTTCTGTGTCATTAAAACAGCATTTCTGGTTTCTTGCTTTATTTCAAGAATAGCATATGTAAGAGAAATACAGGTTCACACTTGTGGTGTGAACTCAGCAACACCAGCAAAAAAACTCTCCTGACTACAAGCAGACACTTGATGCAGCATGCCATTGTCTATAGAAAAAAATGCCAACAACCAAAATTAATGCAAAGGCCACTTTTGTCCTTTTTTTTTTTTAGCCCAAAGACTGCAAAGACATCCAAATTGAGGGCTCTGTACTGAGCTGCAGTACAGCCTATAATAATTGGGTCTGTGCAGCCAATGGAGTGGTGCCCATCCTACAGCACTTCAGCTATATTTGTAGAAATGCTCCATTTTTTAACAGAACACTTAACTTAGTTGAATGATACTTCTATTTTCACAGCAGCGTTTTCAGCCAAGACTTGTAACATGAAGTTTTATTGCTATTTTTTAGAAAAGAAGATGCTGCAAAAGCCTTACTCCACTCCTTTCTCATTAAGCTAAATGCCTGCAAATCGCGTCTGTTTTGTTTTGGAAGCTGAAGTGCTACCGAGCACAGTGTCAGCAGAGGGAGCCGTCTGCTTGGCTCCCAAGGCCCGCGGATTGACAGGGAAATTTGGTTTTCTGGTTTGTGAAATGCAGTACCTGGAGAAAAAGGCTTGCAGGGCGAGGACAGCAAGGCTGAACAGGGGAAGAGCAGTTTGTTACCAGGTATTCAGGAGTGCGACCTATATGCAGTTCTGTCTGCTTTTTCTTGCTGCACTCTTTGCCATTGTTGTAACTGAACAGATACCTCTTTCCCCGTTACTCTGCTCCTGACTTACAAGGTTCGGGAGCTGTTTTAAGGGCTTTCTTCAAGCAGAAAATACTTTTTTTTTTTTTTTTTTTTTAACCTCTAGGCTTTCACGAAAAGCGCTCGTGGTATGAGAACAGGCACAGCGTCCAGGTGTGGGCCCGGCCGTTTGTTGCAGCCCTATTATTTCCGATGTCCAGCAGAGGTCAGGGTTTTTCTATGGATGCGACACCACCCCGGGCTGAGCGGTGCTCGGCCGTGTGCTGACTGACAGGTAACGCAGGGCTGCCCTCCGTGCTGGGAAGTGGGACTGCTACTGCAGTGGCAGGCCAATTTAATGGCAAAATCTGTGCTTCTTCGTGCCTGAGTGATGGTGCTGCTGTGTGGTGGACCCACCACCCTCATACAGGATGGCCTGAAGCAGTCAGCAGCAGAGCTACCCAGGACCTGGTGCGGTCAGTTCTCCAACAGACACACAGAACAGGTCCTGCAGAATTGTACCTGTGGCACTGAGTCTGTTAGAGATTGTGGCTGCAGTGTACTGGGCTGGTGGACAGAAATGGGAGTTTGCATGTAAAAGGTTTGTGGCTGCACACTTGGGCTGCTCTAAAAGTAATGCCTCCTATTTTACTATGTCAGCCCAGGAAATCAGAAGTGGAAGGTATGGCAGCAGAGGCTGAACCTTCCCACCAACATTCCACTGTATTTTGTTGCTATGTGACAGAAGAGAGGCAGTCTGACAGAATAGTGCCTGAAAGTGTGCATGGAGCAAAGCTGTATCACTGAATTCCTCCAAGCAGAAAAAATGGTACCCTCTGACATTCATAGATGCTTGCTGAACATTTACAGAGACTGAACAGTGGATGTGAGCACAGTAAGACAACAGATGGTGTGTTTCAGCAGTGGTGACAGTGACAGGTGGGTCATCTATCATAAAATCATAGAATGGTTTGAGCTGGAAGGGACCACATAAGCCATCCAGTTCCAATCCCATGGGCAGGTTGTCTGATCAGGCTGCCCAGGGCCCCAGCCAGCTTGGCCTGGGACACCTTCAAGGATGGGGCATCCAAACCTTCTCTGTCCACTGGTGCGGATGTTTCTGAACATGAGATGCAGGCTTTTGTTCACTGCTGGTTAAAATGCAGAGCTATGCACACAGAGTGGTGACTATTGAAAATATGTGTTTTGAAGCTGAGAATTTGCTCCATCAAATGGTGCTACGGCACTTTTTGTTGTGGTTTCTATGGAAATAAACAGGAGGCATTATTTTCGGATCGACTTATGTACCCAGATAAATAGATTAAGGTGATGCCCACTGGTCACTATAGCAGCAGCTCAAGTCAGTCCATTTTAGGGAGTGCAGCAGGTCATAGTGCTGGCTTTCAAGCTGAGAATGCCTTTGAGCATTCATATAGTCATAATGGTTGGAAAAGACCTCTGAGATCACCAAGTCCGACCACCAACCCACCCCCACCACGTGCACTAACCCACGTCCCTCAATGCCAGTCACACGATTAGTGAACACCGCCAGGGACGGTGACTCCCCCACCTCCCTGCGCAGCCTCGCCACTCCTTCCAAGACGGAACTGTCTGTCCCTAATACCCCGCCATCCCCAAGGCAGCAGCTCCACGCCATGCAGCCCCGGCGGGCCCCCTCTCGGCACACTCCCACCCCGTGCCCGTTTCCCCGCCCCTCCGCCCGCCGTCGCCCCCTCCCTCCACCACCACGTGGCCTGCCGGCACGAGCCGCCCACCCCCCTGCCTCCCGCCCCGCGGCGCCCGGCGCGCGTCGATTAGCATGACAAAGGGTCCTCCCCCCGCTTCCCGCCGGCCAATGGAAGTGCACCGGCCGCCGCCAGCTGCCAGCGCCGCAGCTCCACGGCCTTAAATAGAGCAGGCGTCGGCAGAGCTGTGGTAGAGTGTGGGCATTGAGGTGTCGGGAAAAGCTGCGGGCGGTCGGGCGGTCGGTGATAGCGTTGCTTTACGGTACGCTGCTATGACTCTGGAAGAAACGCAAGGACAGGAGCTGGCGCCTGCGGGCGAAGACTGGTAGGTGCCGGCGGCGGGTGGCTGGGAGGTGGGGTGGCCGTTGTCCGGGCGCTGGCGCCGTGCTGATCGGATCGCTCTCTCCTGCTCGCAGGATGCAGGGCGCCGGCGAGGCCCTCCACGAGCTGCTGGTATCGGCGCAGCGCCGCGGCTGCCTCACCGCCGGCGTCTACGAGTCGGCCAAGCTTATGAACGTGTGAGTAGGGGGGAAGGCAGCGGGAGTGGGGCGAGGGGCAAGTCAGACCTGCCGGGGCCTAATGGCTCTCGCCACCCGCAGAGACCCAGATAACGTGGCGTTCT